CTATGTTGGTGAAACAGATCCACTCATTAACAATAATAATAACGACAGATCTTCCGACAACAATAGTGAGACTGCTGCACTCTCATTTGATGGTATTTTATCACCAGAAAATGTAATCTTTCCTTTGTGTTGACGCTTTTTGGAAAATGAAAAATAAAAAAAGAATTAAGAAAGAATCAAAAGGATCTAATCAATCAATTAATTTAAAAATTTTTTTTTTCATTTACCTCAAATATCCACTGATTAATCAAAATTTAAAAGCAGATTATTTCGCTTCTTTTTTATTATATAATGATATTATAATTTAATAATCTTTCACTTACTTGCATGACCCACCACATACTATGTGCACTTCTAGAATTGATTTTCCATACTAATCTTTTAGAAAATGGAATTATCAACATTGATAAAAGCTGAACTACATTAATACCAATCGCCAAACTACGTAAATAATAAATATTGTTGATTCTAATTAATAATAATTTTAGAGAGTTCAACAACTTTATTATGCTGACAAGATAACAAACCTAAAAAGCGCGGTTCCATAAAGCCATATGCGCACTGCTCGAGGAAAATATTTTAACATTATTAATTTTTTATTTTTAAACAAATTTTTCCTATATCAGCATTTAATCCATTTAATCCGCAGTAAATGAATTTGAGATTTTTTTTTTTGGGGAAATGTTTTAGAACGGGAATGGCTATATATGGTAATAAAATTTCAATGATACAAATAATAATACGTAAATAGAAATGCATCAACTTTGTTCAACTTCCTTGATTAATTAATAATTTCCTCTCTACTCATAGTTAATAGCTTTAATAATTAATATCGATTCCATTGTGAGATATCAATGAGTACATATATGACGTGATCAATGGTTGAATTTTTAATAATTCGTGTAACAAAACCAAAATGACAATGAAATTTCAGGGATCAAAATTATTTAAAAAGCACAATTGTACCACCACCAATTAAATGCACAAAATTAAAATTGAAGGCACAAAATCAATAATAATTCTTATCCAAGAAAATTTCCTTGGTTGATCAAGTGTACCTACATTAATTCAATCTAGATGGGGAAGTAACTTGCACAATTGATAGTTCAGGTGTAAGGCTCCAAATGACTCAATGAAATTTTGAACTAAATTGAATCAAATCTGAATTGTATTTTGATTTGTTTCATACTGATTTGAATCTATAGCAATCCATTATTGTTCATTAGTTATATTAATTATTTAATGAATTTATTAATTGTGTTATTGTTATTTAGATAATGGTGGTTGAAACTACCTTATTTAGTGGGCCAAAATTAATTGGCCTAAGCTAATTTTAATAACAATAATAACTGAAGTTTGGTGAATTATTTTTAAGTTTTTTAAAATAAAGTAGATTGATTTAGATACTTATTGTATGCTCAATTTAATGCATAAATTGTTAGTGAAAATTTTGTTGATATGAGGTCAGGCAAAAGTAAATGAGATTAATATTATGAAAAAATTCAACCTCAGGAATAGCTTTACTGATACAAAAATAAAAATGAATTACAAGATACATGAAAAATATACAAATTATTGTGAAATGGGAGGAAAAAGTTGGGCTTTGGTGCACCTTTTGCCAATGCCTGCACAAGCAAACCCTTGTTCATAATTACAATATTTCTTAAGGTCAATAATAATTGTATCAGAGGCTTCACACACTACAACATGTCTGAAGCCAATGGAATTTCTGCTTGATCCAGATGGAATTATCTCAGTATTCCACTTGTATCATTTATGAGAACATTTAAATACATTCTCTTGCCAGCCACCTGGATCCCAACTACACCAAACTGACTACAAATAGGTCTGCACACAGAATTTATATAGCTAACCCCATCCAACAATTCTCTCCATAATTTTGTGTCACTGCAGACAATATGCAAACTTTCTGTGAATAAAAATTCCACTAATGCCATAACATTGTTTCTATGTGCAATACTTGCCAAGCTTTGATGCTCAGTCATGCTTAAACAAATACAGCCATTTGGTAGATCCCCATAGTGGCTCAAAGTAAAGGTATGATCACATCTGTGATATAAGTCCCTTCACTTTGCATACTACAGGTCATGCTTGTCTCAAAAGCCTGATTATTCCATACTTCTCTAAATTTATGAATATCAATTAAGTTAACCTGAAAAAAAATACACATATAAAGGATTATTAATTATTTACAGTATACTAAGTATTCATTCAGCTATTTTTTCCAAGTTAGATTCATTATCCTTCCATAACCCATTATGCATGATATTTCCAGAATGTATATTTTATTAAAATTATTTACAAACTCAATGCACTTAAAAGAAACTAAGTCTGGGAGTTTGCATCTCATGTTCTCTCGAGGCTCCTAGATAATATGTAATTGTTTGTAAATAAACTTGTTCACGGGATATTTTTCAATGTAATTGAAATTCATTAATATATACTGTGTATTATCTAAGGTTTCCAGCCGAAACTCTCTTTATTAGTAGCCGAAATTGCCAAAACACTTTGGCAAAAATTACTTTTTTATAAGCCCAAACTATTTTTTGTTATTAGCCGGAATTGGGCGAAATTTTACTTAAGTTAAAATAAGTTGATTGATATAGTTTTTTAATGTTCATGTTTATAAAAATGCTGAGAAGCCCAAATTGCCCAAACTAGTTTTGGGCTTTGAGAAAACAGTTTGGATCGGAAACCTTAGTATTATCATTACCAAAAAAATACATTTCTGTTTCTGGCCTAATTTTTCTACCACAAATGAGTCATCACTGAGAACTGTACTTGCAATAAGATCCCTCCAGGTAAGTTTAGAAACATCTACTAAACCACTATTTCACTCCTAAGAGCATCATAAAGATTTTCATCTGCAATTGTCATAGGAGAATTGAGCTTTGATCTCAATGTTCTAAAATTTTGTTCGATTTCCACTTGTGTAAAATCTGGATCCAATTCTTGAGGTATATTCAATGCCTTTAATGCTTTTAAACCAATGATAGTATTATACCAATTCTCCATATACAGCAGATGTAATAATAAGTCAGATATGTTATCACATAATATTCCTCCCATATAAGTAGTGGGTCATGACCCTTCCAAAATGGCCACATACATCCAGGGAGAGCATAAACCCTCGACATTATGAGGAAAAATTCCTGGCTACATCACTCTTCTGGGCTGGTATTTTCAGACTTTAGACCTATTTCATCATATACAGTATAACCCTTGTTTCAACGGATTATAATTAAATTCGCGTTTCAACGGATTTTAAAAATCTTTGTTACACGTTATTATTATTATTATTATTACAATTATGAAAACATAAAATCCGTTGAAACGTGATTAGTATTATAATTAGTGAGGGATCAATAATTAGCAAATTTTAAAAGATAAAATATATTAATCAAAGAATTTAGTGCATGAAAAGTTTTTTACAATTATTTTGCTTTGAAGGAATTTATCATCAATACACCACAAGTTCATTTGCCGAATAATAATAAAAATTTCTGCTATCAACTCAAGATTGAATGTGTCATATTTGCGTAAGAGCCATTTTTGTAAGTGTCGCACGTCATAAAATGGACATATACTCTACAAATCTGAAGCTTGCTTATATATCAATATATATATATATATACACTATTGAGTTCAAAATTAATAGATAAAATAAAAAATGTTTACGACTAAAGATATTTCTCTTTACAATTTTCCTTTATCAATTAATTAATTGTTGATTAATTTTAAATGTCAAAATTTAATTCCTTAACATAATGCATGTTGTTTGTTGGTTTCTAACAGATGAGAATTAATGATAATATTATTATTATTATAGAAATTATAATGATTTCAATATGTGCATATAATAGATATGTATGATTAATTAAGCTATTGTTACTTACAATTGAAAGTATACATTGTATACTCGCAACATCTGGATGGTCAATTGTCAAATTGGCTCCCCAGTCACATCCAATTGTTATACGCTTTTGGACTTCTGATAAGACAACTTTTTCTTTTTGATATACAATAGATGAAATTGTCTTGGCTTTGGCTTTAGCTTCCTCAAATCTGGCTTGAGCAAGCTCAACTCGGAGTTTTTCTTTTCTTTTATGACTGATGGTGGGCTTAGCTTTGGCTTTAGCATGCTCAGCTCTGAATTTAAGGTCAGGATTATAATAATTTCTTTTGTTACTATTATTATTATTATTATTATTATTATTATTATTATATATTAAAACTAGAGCGATGACTCTTACTGAACAATCTTTTCGTGTATATTGTCTAATCTGTTTTTTTGTTGTTGTTGGTTGTTTGGCATTTTAAAAATTTAAAGTGATTGATCTACAATCGTGTAACATTAATTTATATCGAGAAGGTTGCTGTTCTTGAACTTCGTCCGTTAAACAGAGATTTTTAATTAGTATCTGCTAAATCGAGATCCGCTAAACAGAGATTCACTATGTGGTAGCTTTGACTGAATGACTATGTTGATTTTCAAAAATAAAGCCTGTATGAATAAAATAAAAATCATATAGATATTTTTCTTTTGCATTCAACAAACTAGGTTATAGCCACCTACTAATTCACCCGTGCCTTTAATTTTCATAATTGCCACAATTTATTCATCCTACAGAAAAGTCGAAATTATTGATAGGATCGATGGGAAATATCCCCCTACTTCTTTTTGACAGGTTTGAAAAGTTTTTCATGACGAGACAAGGTTCCTGCTGATAGCTCCTACTGGTATTGACATCCAATAACATCGGTAGAAAGGCCATACACTCATCCTTGAATGGAAGGGAAGATACGAAATATTGATTTTTTTACCGCACATATAACCGAGCTACATCCATGCCATTATAATAGAGGAAATATCTATATACCTTTTCCGGCTTCATAATAATAATATTTTTGAAGATGTACCAATGTCGGTCGTGAGGGATTTGGCTCAGCTGCCTTCAGTTCGCCCTTCCTATGTTTTCAACTCGCCGACTTGGAAAAATTCTTCTCTCTGTTTTTAACGACCCTGCAAATAAACGACATCGATCGAATTTTATCAGATTTTTCAAGAGGTAAGGATGGGAAGCCTGTTACAAAAAAGCAAACGAATCATCCAGTCAAAATGTAGACATGCGTCAAGAAGTTGAAAACCTTAACATACTATTTTTTGACCATCTCGATGAAACCTACAATGACTCAATCATCTCAAAGAGAGTAGATGCGTTAGATTTTGGGATCTTGATAAAAAATATTAATATGCCCGATTTAAAAATCTAACAAACTTAACCGAGAGGGCGTATTTGCAAAAAGGCTCTTGTGTGATGTTTTTGAACAACAAATTGTTCAATGAAAATACATGCAATGGGACCATTAGTATTGTGACAAAGATGATCGATGAAGAAAGTGTCAAGGTGATGTTTCCAACCTGACAGTATAAGCAAAATTGTGCAAAAGGAAACTTATTATTTGAAGTTTATGGCAAAAGTACATCGAGGTGATAATTCCTCTCCAAAACGTGTTCGCTTTGACACTTCACAGGACACATGGTTTAACGTAACGTTAAATGTTGGTGAAGATATGTTTGCGTACATGTGATGAACTGAGCCGTTTCGCTGGATAAGTTGCACGTGTAACAAAGATAAAAATGCGTCTGGATACCTTCTTCCAGGTAGTGTATTATTATTATTAAAATTTTTCTTTATTATTATTTATTAACACATCCTTACAATTAATTGATTATTCACTTATTGCTAAAAAATACCCTTGTGGTGTTTTCGTATATTTTTTCAGCTAATAGTTCAGGATCGGCATTACGGATTGAAGCCAATACATGCAATACTTGTCTATAAGTACATAACAATAATTTACATTAGTAAAAAAACAATCAGGCATTTTATATATGTGTATGTATATGTATATCAACATTTACACTATAGAACATGGTTCGTTTCTTCCTTTAACCATATATCCCTCTTGAAATCTTTCTTTTTTGTAAGAAGTTGGTATCGACGATTTTTCAAGATTTTTAATTAAATGTGAATATGATGCATGAGTAGAACGTATATCACACCATGGAGAGTCTTTATATAAATAAAAGATTATTAGATTTAAAGATTATTGATATTAACAATAATAGTAAAAGTAATAGTGACAATACCTGTTTCTATCATTAATCGATCTTCAGGAACTTGTTTTACAACATCAAGATTTTCTTGCGTTTTTAAAGAACTAAAGATTTTGATTTTTATATTGAAAATTTTTGAAGAGAAGAGAAAAAAATAAATATGTTAATCAGTTACACATACATAGCATGAACATATATTTACTTACCAACCATTTACTCCAAGATATAACCCTAAAGAAACTGCACGTTTCATTTCTTCAAGTCCACAAGTAAATGAATGCATTACACCATTAGTAAATTTATGCCGATTTTTTTGAATTAAATGTGATGATTTGAGTTAATGAATTTATTATTCTTTTTTTTCAAAAAAGAAGAATTAGACAAAGACATTTCAAAGGATATCCATAAAATCATTTCCAGTATTTCTATTATGAAGAAACATCGGAAGACCAGTTTTCTCTGCAAGATCAAATTGTTTTTCAAAATATCTAAATATATTAAATATGTAAAATAATTAATAAATTATTTTAGCGCAATTTTAGATTATATATAAAATGGTAATAAATACTTTAGTTGAACTTCTTTAGAACAAAAATTTAATCGATCATAATCTTTTTGTAATATAAGAATTTAATTAATAATTAAAAATAAAAAAATTTAACATCAAAATTGTTGATGTTTGTTACCAAGTCCACATTCACCAATTGCCACAATCTTTCCTTTAGAATCTTCGTTATTTGCAAGATTTAAAAGTTTTTGGTAATAATGATCAGGACCTTTCGGATCTTCGTCAAATTCGTTGGATCGTGTTGGATGACAACCAACAGTTGAAAAAAGATTATCTAAAAAAAAATTTTTGAAAAATTTAAGATTTTCTTTTTCATAATAATTAATAATTAATAATAAAAATAATATATTTTTTGGACATTCACACCATAATCTTTTGATAACTTAAAAGCTTCTTCGCTTTCACTTACAGATCCACCTGTCACTATAATCTTTTCGACACCTGCAGCACTAGCACGTTGCATCATTAATGGGAAGTCATCTAATAATGATAATGATTATAAATTGGGTTGATTTTTAAATATTTTTTAATTAATTAAAAGTTACCCAAATGAACCTTTTTCCCTCGATATATTCCATTAAATATTGGATCTGTCAAATTCACTCCAATATCTTTTAAAATCAATTAATATATTTATTAATATTTATCTATTTATTTATTTTGTTTAAAATTCAATTTTTCTTTACCGATAAAACGCATTTGATTTTAAATATAAATGGATTATGAAAAAGTGGCTTAGAATCATTATTAAAATCTGCAAGCTAAATCCATTCTACTTGCTAATATTATTAATTCTTGAATTATTCCACGAAGAAATATTTTTCTAATAAACAATCAATGAAATAATCACATAATTATACAAGAAAATTTTATATTCGTTTTTTATGCTTCGTTTACGGGTAAAGGCGAAGAATGATCATTAAAGAATTGCCTTTTCATTAGAACACGAGGACTATGCTCAAGCCTACCTAGGTGATTTATATTCGTCAGAGAAGACCCTTGTTATATTTCTCGGTTGGCTTCGACCATTACAAGACCATCATAAGATGGTCATTCAATTTATCCTTATATCTTCCCCTTGAATTTTTGCTTCATTTTGCCAATACGAAATGAACTTGCTGGAAGCATTTCGGTGGTAAGCTAGTATAAATATTGGGTGCTACACCAGTGGTTGGCACGCGTTTATCGGCTGAGGCATTTTTAAAAAAATTTACTTTATATAAGTGATTATTATTAATCATGCAAAATTTTTTCTTTAGTCAAGTATATATATTAATTGAATCTTTGCTTATTTTCGTCAACCAAAAACTTTCCGACCAATTCAATTTTTAATTTGTGCAATAAAACCTTGGCTTTAACGGAAAGCTTTATTTAAATTACTAACATTAATAAATAAAAAGAATGTGACAGAACATTTTAGGCGTCGAGGAATGCTATTTAAACAATGTAGCCGAAAAATACAGAGTTTTTCAGATGTCTGATAATTTAATTGGAATTGTTAAATCCATATAATTGTCTCTTGAGTTTATTAAATATGAAAAAAAAAAGTCTTATAATGAATAAGAAGTTCGCTAGTATCTTTTCTAAAAATATGAAGACGTGAGACTATAGTGAGTATTTTTTGTTTGTATAAAAATAAAAATAATACTTGCTAAATTTTAAAAGGCTTAAAACAATTGTTTAAAGTCCAAGTTTTTAAATTTTGTTAAAGGAGTTGAAGGACACAAGCGCTATTTTAAAAAAAGAATATTTTAAAGTTATGAAAGAATCCAAAAAGCGAAACTTTTAATTGAGTTACATTGTAAATTTGATTTCATAGAAATGCGTTGAAGTCTGCGCTAAACGATATAGAATATCTTGTAAAGCAAGCAACAGTAGAAATAGTAAGAAAAAAAAAAGAATCTCTAACAACCATTTGTACACAAAATTGAAGAACTATAGATTATGATGAAAATGGATAAAGATGACGAGACTATAAAACGTTTGCATTTATGTATTGGGACAAAAAAGTCTACTTTTTTATATATAGTTTTTCATATAAAAAATATCGAGAGACCCAAACTAGTTTGGACTTTTGAAAAACATTTTGGAATGGAATCTTAGTTGGACCTGTGGTAATGTACTTGTCTAAAATGCAGTAATAATCAATTTATCACTTCTGATGCCTATTCGCCTATTGGGCTCCTTATGTTAGTAATGAATTTTGTGATGGTCAACTTTGTTATAATAAGGGAATGAATATGTATAATATTATAATTTATTTAATATTATATAATAAAGAATTTATCAATATTATGATATCAATTTTATTAATATTGGAAACAAACTGAATAATAAACGAATAAAACAAAAAAAAACTTCAAGGTTGACTTTACCAATCTATGGCTGACTGCATATTTTGGATATAACTATGTTGATGTGAGAGAGAGATCCTTGATCCTCGAGTTACTATTATATACGAGAGAACATTTCCGTAATATGTGATCTGACTGAAGTCAAACACAATATTTGTCATTAAAATGTGTAAACGTGAAAGATTTATTTGCGAATAAAAAAAAATTCTATATTTTTCAAATGCCTAATTAAAAATCATAATTTTTTCTTTACTAATTTATACACTTCGCATTCTTCTAAGAAATGAACTTTTTTGTTTTTATTTCTAAGATTTAAATTATTTTCATAAATATTAAAATAATTATAATAACAATAGGGCTCATTATGAATACTATTAAATAAATGTAAATCACGGAAATTTATGGTAGCTTCACAAAATTCTATTTTATCTATATTAAAATTCAAATTTCTAATATTATGACCTATAGCCTGCGCGGGGGTTTTGATTCTGCTTAATATTGAATTGCCAAGTTGTTTTTCATCGATCTTAAAAATAAAACTTTGATTAGTTCGAATCCAATAATTTTCATCTGGAGATTTTTCTTTTATATTCCAACAAACTGGGTTGTAGCCACCTACTAATTCACTTGTTTCTTTGATTTTCATAATTACTACAGTTCGTTCAGTGTTATAAATTTTTTGTTCAAACACTGATCTAGAAAATCCATCTTGAGTACCTTTAAAAATTAATTGAAACTTATAAGGCAACTTATCTTCGTTGTTAATACCTTCTTTCGAATCAATCCAATTTGATATTAAGCATTTTATTTCTAAATTCAGTAGTTTCTTTCTACCTGTTCTTGAACCTTTTTGGGGTAATAATTTTGGTTGCCATTTTTCATCATTCAAATAGTATTGAAGAAGCTCTTCATATATGCCTTCATCAAAAACTTTTTCATATGGTGCAATACTTTCATAAAAGTCACTTGAAGAAATTTGCTTAAATCTTATTAAAGGAATAATATCTTCCAATATATTTTTTAACTTTTTGAAATCATCTTTATTCCACTCTGAAACATCTTTTTCCAACTCCTTATTTTGCCCCACTCCCCATTGAATAACATGATCCCAAATTTCAAGTTCATCTAATGGTAAATTATCTTTTTTTAATATAGATATGAATATAGATTTTTCGATTGCTTCAATGCCATCAGATTCTAAAAATAGTTCTGGACAATTATGATATAGTTTATCGCAATATTCTTGAAGCAAATTAAATGATTGTTTCCCTGATAAAATTTTATAAATGTAAATTAAATTTTTTTGAATCCAATATTCTTCTTCATTAATTAAATGATTTTGTAAATGTTCAATTAATTCATTGAAGCATAACTCATCACAAGCTTCAAGAAATTCTAAAATTTCATTCGGATCTAAACGATCCATTTCAACAATTCCACTATAAATATAGCTTTTAAACACGAAAATATAAATATATAAATAAATTATCAATGTACGAAAGTAAAAAAATTTATCAAGTTAAACTTACACTAAAAGAACTTCAAATATTTTTGGAGAAATATTTCCTTTTTCATATAAAATAATACCATTGTCAGATCTTTTAATCCAATTATTTGATAGAGCAGCTTTAAAATAAGACGATCTTGCTTTTAAAATATTGGAATGAGCTTTAAATATTTTTTTATCTTCTCCAACCTTAATCTCTACATCATAATAATCTGATTCATTAAACATACTTGTCAAATCATTTATTAGCTTACCAATGTATTTTAATGATGAAGCATTATTATTGTTAGACTTTACAAAGTTATTAAATAAAAGTGTAATATTTTCCAAGGATAAAAAGCTGTTATTATTAGACATTCTGAAGAATATATTTTTATAGTGCAAGACACCTAGTCCCACAACTTTTTATTGGCCTTGTAGATCCTTCTCTAACTCCAAAAATGGAAATGTAACACCAAAAAATAAGCCGTAATTTTGAAGCTAAGACCTTTCTCTACAAAGTTACGATTTCATTTTGTTGATATGTCACAGCATTGCGC